TAAAAAAATGTACGGTTGAGTATCATAAAGTGATGTTATAGAAGTAAATGGGGGAAAAACGTCCCAGAGGGGAGAGCTCGTGCTTACAACGGCTTCGATAACACCGTATTGAGACTGGAAGTGATATCATTGTTTATAGCGTGGTAAGCAAATTATTAAACATGCTAAGTACTTTAAATCTGTTCACGTGAGCCTAATAAATCACGAATTATTATCTCAAATAAGGCTTGAACCCATTCCCGAATCATTATTGATTTCATTACCTCATTTACATAGAGTGTTTAATATTCATATTGGTGTTCTAATATTTGTATATTAGTATAAGCATTTATTAAATATTTATGTGGATACTTGAAGCTGGAGTACATTTTTTCTTTATTTTTTTCGGTATGTATCGTTTTGTATTTATAATATAAAGTCATATCCAGTATTTTATCATCCCTGACCATGACATATCTATCTCTGGGGCCGCAGTCAAATTCAATCTGTAGCCCGCACTCCCAAATCACCTGAACACTTTCCGAAGCAGGCATTAGGTTTCGGGCAAATCTTATTTGGATACATTTAAAATGGTTTCGGATGGTGCGTTTCTTCTTGATAATATTTACTATATCAATAAATAAAACCAACTCATTTATATCTCTATTCCTTTTATTTATCATATCTGTATGTTACTTATTTTGATAAAATAACATTTATTAGTTTATGTGTAACTTTACGTGTATGTATATGAAAAAACTAGCATTTAAAATAATAAAATATATTTAAGAACTCAATACCTACCTTTCGTAGGCAAGTAAACTAGAAGAATCTAATATAGTAGATCTAGATAATTGTATTTTTAAATTCAAGATGCAACGTCTAAAATTGAGCGTGAACTGTAATAGCAGTGTTGCTCATACAGACATAATATATCTTGCTTTGTCCCAATGTGAAGACGGAGGGACGGCACTGGCATACTGATGCGTTCTTTTAAAATTTATTACCGAGCCTTAGGGTTGACGTGTCAATGGTCAAAGTTTGTCGATAAATTGCAAATAAGTAATCTATCGTTTTAAAACTTAACGACCTCACAACTTGAAAAATTGATATATTTTTTTCAATAATGCAATGTGATAAATATTGAAATGCATTTTGTAAAGAAATATCGACATCGATGTAAAACAGTACAACACTACTAGTATGTCGTTGGTGAATAAGAAGTAATGAGTTTTCTTTTTCAACGTGCCACCTGACTTCTGGTCTCGCCGACGCCTCGACTTTACTAAACAAAATTAAATATCATTTTTTTTTCTTACCTACTATTCCCTTTTCCCTTTTCACCTTAAAGAAATTCTGTCTGAGCGTTTGAAGTCAGAAACGATGTTTGTCATGACATTCGAGTGTTTAACCCCTTGTAAAAGGTTCTTTTATCTAGATTAAGATGTTTCGCTTTTGTTTACTCCGAGAAATCGTTGGGAAACGTAAATAGCGAAATCAGCTGAACGATATCATCGAAGATGCTTTGAATTGCCTTATAATTTATTTTTATATACTACGTAACTTTATATTTCAACTTTGAAGATCTTGTCATCTTATATTTTATTGATATACCTACTGTTTCTTAATCAAAAAAACCAATATTGTGTAACAAAATATTTTAAGAAACAAATAGTATCATTGTGTTTTTTATCTTAACTAAAATACTGTCTTGTATAGCTTCCAAAAAGGACGCCATCAATAAGCTTTGTTCAGTGAAATAATTAAGTCAAAATCCCAACAATCACTGATGATTCTGATTTATCGACGCGGGGATTAAAACCGTTACAGCGTTCGTTGAGCTTTGTAATTGTACTCTCATTCATCGGATTCCTAATGAATAATTGTTGTTTGGAAGAAGTGTCCCCAAAACTGAAATTGGATTAAGTTTCAATAACACCAACTATTGTTCTATAATTCTGATAGTCTCCGGTTATTTTATTAGTGTATCATAAATAAAATAAGTATAGAAGTTTATATGCTGGTGGACTGAATAATACGTTTGCAGAATTAATATAATGTCATGCTATTACATCGAATCGTCTCCTTTAATAGACATTGATACCAAGATGTAGCATTGCCAATACGCTATTTGTAAACTATTTGTATGCGGGATGGTGTGCTTGCATCACTTTTTCTACTTTAAGAGACAAGCGAGCTTCCCTTCTAACGTCTTACAGAAATGTATTTCAGTATAATTCTTATCAGGGAACCTCACTGCCGTAGTCTTTGTAAAATAAACTTTGTGGATCTGTATTTTGACATGAATTTACTTTTCTTGTAATTTAGAATTCTCTATATCATCACAAAAAATATTTTATGAATTAATCTACATTTTTTTTCTATATATGTTAAATATTTTTTTAAGCAAAGATTAAAACTATAGTTAAATAATAAATTATTATTTTACATATGCAGTGATTCGTAGAGATACAAGTAATATATTTGGGCTTCATTTATTTTATACTTACTGTCGTTGAATGTAGTCAGTATTAGGTTTACAGGCGCTACTATAATTGAAGTGGAACTTGCCTAATTACTTAAAGACTTTACTTGTTATGCACTAACGTCTCATTAATTTATTAGAGTTCCTTTTGGTGTCAAAGTTGACTAAAATTAGCATAAGCTTAAGAAACTAAAACTTACCGGCCGGTTCACCGTCCACTAAGGCGATAATCTTGCTTGTCCAGAGTTCCAAAATCTCCTCGAACTTTGCGAGGACATGCCCCATATAAATAACAATGTTCGCTTAGGAAGTGATATACCGTTTATGAGAAACTTAAGTGCACTATTGTCGTTCCGTCTTATCCGTTCCGTTTATATCTTAAACTATAAAAATGCATCGAACGCAATGCTTTTGTACAATACTAGTTTATTTTTAGCTTCCTTAGTATGCTGTGCTGCTAGACATTTTTGTGGCATTTTCGGAGACAGTTTGCATCTTCTTCCTTCAAACGGAATATGTGATGGTGTGAGAGTGATAGCTACAGTCGCTGATTTTGTATGGCCGTCCTATAAGCTTGACAATAAAATTTTATGAATCAGAGTTTCGAACACTTTTTATTTTAAAATATTCTTTATAAAAATAATAAAATATCTAATAAGAGAGTTGTATGTTTCCCAAAACATTTATTAAAAGCTTGCAATATATATAAATTTTATTATGAGAAATAAACGTTAAAATGAGTCAAATTTATTATACTTCTAGGAACACATGATAGTTGCGATGTACATATAATGAACACGCGAAATTGTGATATGAATCATATAACGAAATATCAATACTCTTTTCATCAATTAAGTAATATTTCCATGAAAATATAATTAAAACTGAAAACACCACATCAATTTCGTTTCATTATTTGTTTACGGTTCATAAAATATTGAAGAGTAAAACATTTACTTAATACAAATTAAAACAATATTAATTGAATTCTATCGTAATGAAACTCGCTGGAGTGGCATTCGACAAAGTGAATCTATGTTACAGATACAATGATGAAATTATTCACATGTTCATAACAAAGAGAGAGAGGTGGGTCACTTAGGTACTTTGATGAATTAAAATCATTACAAAACATATTTACGCCTCTAATTACTTTTGCATAGCATTTTTTATGCAACTTAACGGTAGTAGACTTTATTTTTAATATGTTGCTATTGTTTTAATTGAAATATGCAGATAATATATAATTTATAAAGTTGAGAATATACTTTAACTAACTTTTATATTTCTGATAGTAATGGTCAATAGAAAATATGTAGTTTTTTTGTATATGTATTGTGTATGATAACTTTATACATTGTATTATTATGTAATATTTATATTATAAACATTTAAATACAGATCTGATATGTAAGTTTAGAAAATATAATAATAGAAATAGATTTGAATTAATAAACTACATTCTCACTGGTGCATAAAGTAACCACATTTGGATTTCGCCTTATAATTTCAATAGAAGCTCTGATATTCACTTCTCAGTTATTTATCTGAAAATTCAAACATATCTTGATACTATTATTTTTACTTTTTTGATTTAATCAGAAAAAGTCCTAGAAAAGTAAGCAATATTTCGTTTATAACAGTTTAATATTTCCACTTCAAAATAACTCAGTGACTTTTACCAAGTTAACAATGATGTTTTAATGGAGCTGAATATTCGAACAGCCTGAAATATATATTTTAATGACAATATAAACTGTGCCCAGCCCTGACAGCGAGTTGACTATCATTTTTACTATCTAGATAAATTTTGAATAGTTGCTCGTTTTATTTCGTTATATGAAATTCTGGATCGAAAAGGCTCTTAATGTTTTGTACATTTGAATACATTTGATTAGAAAATATATTGGTATGGATTTTTTATACGGTATAAAATTAATTATAGTTAATAAAAATACACAAAAATAGTTTTCAAATATTTTTAAAGTTATTCCGAACATTTAGATTCTACAAACTCTTCTAGATAAAGACTAATACGTATACCTTACCCATAAATATATATCCATTAAGTTTCCATAAATTATTCAGGGTTATTTAAATTTAAAAGTAAACCTTAAATGAAATTTTAATTGCAGATATGTAGAGCTAATAATTAAATTCTAATGTAGAGTTGGCCATCACATAATAGCATAGTGTTCTGGGACCGCGAGTAGGGAAGCTCTTGCACTAACTTGAGCAAATGTTTGGTCTGGCGTACTGTGTCTCTGCTAACGCAATGAATGGAACACTTATATCATCCTTTATTGTTACACATTTTAAACTTATCTCTATAAGAATATAGTATTAAAGAATCATAGTATGAAAATTTTTTAATAATGCATTATTCTTACTTAGTTTAAATCGTTATTGCTTTCAGCATTCGGCGTTACTAAATCACAATGAATTTAAACACATACAAGCATTTGCAAATAGTATATTAGCATGGTCAATGTGTTAAGCCTGTAACAGTATAATTAGTGCATGATTTCCACCGTAGGTATCTCAATTAACTGGAATCATGGTGTCCATAGCGTCAAATGCTCAGAAAGCTCAACGGAGCGCGCTGTCGTCTTACGGTAATCAAACCGAGAGGACCGGAGCCTGGCTGCATCTACCGGGAGATATAACTTTGACCGAAACTATTTACATACTACGGTTCAGACCAAAAATCGCTTAATTTTCGAGTCAAAATACATTTTAAAGATAATTTTTAGTATAAAATGTCAATGTTTGAAGTTGATTGTACCAATTATATGATATTTGATCTTGATTTTAATAAAGAAATGTTTTAAAGCACGTTCGCATGTTTTTTAATAGTAAAAAACTCCGATGTTTCTTATACTGCAAGATAATATAATTAAAATGAAAATTTATTTAAATATTCTAGACGTAAATAGTATCAAATATATTTATTTATTTATATTCCTGTATTACGAAAATAGTAATTATATTTCAACATACAAATAGATCTAGGAATATTCATTGTCATTGAATTTAATATTGAAACTGTTTACTTTTGTATTCATTGATTCAATAATGAAACTTAAAACGAATCGATCAGCATAATTAGCATAACATTAAATATTATTTGAACCGCAGTCTCCTTATTAAATCCACGCATCTTTAATTAATTCTCAAGTTTCATGCGACTCTGAAAGCCTCATTTGCAGAACAGAATCGAGCCGAATGACTCATTTCATTGTAATTACTCAAATTACTATAGCGTTCATGATGATTTCGTTTTTCATTAAATACAGTATTTTTTGTTAAATGAGATATGATTTGCATAATAACTCAGTCGCTTAATTAAATCGGTGCCCGAATTTTTTAAGGAAGCGAGAATCGCGTTATAATCAGTTCGTAATAACAATTCTCGTTGAGGGCTGAGGTGTTAAATTTCTTATAGCAATTTAGGAATATTATTTTAACGTTTCTTTATAATGATTCCAATCTTTACTTATATATAAATTAATAATAAAATATATTTTTAGTCCCGTGAAGGTTTCATGTGATGGTAACACTTAGAATCCTTTTTATTTTAATTTTAAAACCAAATATTTTAAAGTATTAATAAAACTTTACAATTATACTAGTAGAAATGTAAATAAAAATATATTCGATTCTAATTACACTGCTTCTCATATTAATATACAGACTATCGGTGAATAAAATAAAAAGTATTCATAAAAAGTTGTAATATTATTATAGCAGCGTAACTAAAAAGAGCATTTATTTTCCAATCACAAACTAAATTCCGTTTTGCATACAGAGAATATCGTAAATCACCAGGTTTATTGGACGTCCGATGAATCGGGAGTAAATTAATAATCGCATTACTTTTTCAGTGGAATGCAAATATTTGATGATTGGGCAACTGCCGCGCACCGATACGACGCGACGTGCAGTGGATGTGCCTTTTGTTTCCAGTTTTTATGAATGGGACTTTGTTGCCTCCGTGATTCAGTTTTGAAAAATAATTTTAATTAGAGCTTATATTTAATGTAATATTTTATATTATTGTTATTGCTTTTAACATGAGTCTGTATATAAAATAATTAAAATAAATTTCTGCCAATTCGATACCGATGACCTTAACAAAATATAATAATTCCTATAGTGATGCAAATAGATTTTTAGAATTTTTTAATTCAGTTTTACGGTTAAATTTGTCAAGTTTCTCAAAAACTATGGTAAGTATGTTAAATCCTTTCAAGAAATTTATATAAAATTTATAATTTTTTTTTAAATGATTTATATTTTTATTTCAAGTGATTTTTAATTATATTATTTACAAAAATAAGAATGAATGAATTTAAGTCAATGCTCATTTTGATAAAATAATTAAAATATCCTTTGTGAATCAAAGAAAAAAAATATGTATCGTGAAATTTTAGTTGTCTAAAGAATATTAGTATTTTGATATTCGTTCTTCACGATGTGATACACTCGTGAACTTTAATGTGAACGTGTAAAAAGGGTGTTGAGGTGTTGGTGTGTAAATCGCACTTAATTATTCCCGTGGGCCGGCGGGCGGTTAAATGAATTTTTAATCAAATTACAAAGCGAGAAAATTTACAGATAAATCTTAATGATGTTAGCGCGACGTAATGAATGAGTCACTGTATCCGACACTTACGTGTACCAAGTTCAGAAAACAATATATAGTGAAAGTTACTATACTAATATACCCAGTTTTATTAACTTCAAGTTCTTAATTCACAAAAAAAATTTTTTATTTATTTTTTATTGAAAACTTAAATTTCATAATCTGTTAATATTATACTTTACATAATTTATTTTAAAAAAATCTGTAAATAAATTTAGAAATCTTGAATTTTTAATTACAAGACCTTTTTAATTAATTTATCTTATATAATATTTTAATGGTAATCCGAAAGTTTTTTCATCGCTAACAATTATGTTTTTTTAATATAACAGTTTTTATTAACTTCTAAAAAAAAATATTCAACCTTAAAAAATAAAGCGTGTAATTGATATGTGTCGCTGCCATTGTTCCCTTAGTTGAAATCTTGCTTAATATTTTCTGAAAGGGTACATTCAGTGGGTTCTATACACATCAGATTATAAATAATGTTATCATGTCTTTATATGTCACGGCCACTTTCAGTGTCATACTGCACTCAAGGTGGTTTATCTTAGTCTTTATGAAGAATGGTTTATCATATGAGAAATTTTATCATGGTTTAAGTTCATTGGGGTATATCTATGTTGATACATTATTCAAATCACCTATTATATACAAATAAATTTATATGATAACAATTTGTATTAATTTTTTATTTCTACTGTTTTGTTATAATATCCATTTAAGAACACTTCTTCATATTTTTTTACGGCCACTTAACATAATTTATGATAGAACAACCCAGTACAAAAGAGTAATTGTATTAAAAATATGCTAAAACTTTAATGTATTTTTCCAGAAAGTAGACGGGAAACTTGTGAGCCCTTGACACCTTTGCGCCTTTATATAAATGTATTATCAAAGCCTACACTCAAAAGGATCCAAAAAGGCAAGGACATTAATAGGCTACAAGGTATTTTACTTTGAAAGTTATAAAACAAACGCGATCCACCCCAACAGGGGTTAGCCTGACCTCACTAAACTCAGTGCATTACTTACGAAACTCGAAAAAGAATTTCAATTTAAAAATTAATTGTCTGAAACTTTGAAGGCGAATTTTTGAGAAATGGGTTTCTGATCGCCATTAATTGCTGTATTGTTTTATTGATAAAAAGAATTTTAGGGAGTTGTAGTGACTATTATGGGAGATAAAAGAGTTAAGAAAATAAGATACTTTTATTATTATTTATATAAATTTGAAAATTTTTATAAAAAACGATACAGAATGACACAATAAATATAAAAAAGTAGCCTTAGGGAACAAACAAGCATATGTTCATTGTGGAGGTAAGTGGTTGATACTTCTCATGGATAACGGATATTTTAAAAAATGGGATTAAAAATACGCCTAAAATTTGTTGTAAAACATAAAGTATATACAACAAAAGATATATCAAAAAATTACAGAGTGATATTTGCGGCAAATTAAACATTAAATAGAATAATTGATTTGAAAAGAAATAAATGTATAACAAAAGAAGAAGCTTTATTTTATATGAAGCGATAGATAAGTATATAATTAAAAGTTAGTATGAATATTAATAAAATATAGGAAAGCTTCGTTTCAGAAATATTTCATATAATATGTAGAATAACGCAAGATATTTGGATAAGATACAAGATATCATAATGCCGTATTAAAAATAATACTGATGACTTGGTTACTGAAACGTGGAAGATTCCTTATATTCAAAAAATGAAAATGGAAATTAATAATAAATAAAATAGGACAACTTCACAATCATATAAGTATAGGTTTGATACTTTTATAATATATCATAATTAAATGTTTATTTTATAAGAAAAGACAAAAGAAATCTATATTTTTTTAAATATTTTATTAGATTTTTTGAGAAGCTTGTATACATTGAAGTCGCTTATCTCAAAAATGTACAACCGACTTAAAGAAAACATATGAAAAATATTCAGGACCGTCCCAAAAACAGTGCAAACACCTTAAAAAATTGCGACAACACCAAACAGAACCTATAAAATATCATTCGGTAACCACTTAAGCGATATGCGTAGAGCGTGCCTTGGCATGAGGTGGGTGGATTTATACAGTCTGAACAGAGCAAACGTTTGAACTTCAAAAGAATACGCCATATTATTGATATTTGAACCTACCACGCCTAGCCTGCTAGGCGACTGGCTTACTAATGAATACTCATTGGAATCTCGTCTCTTTTAAATATATTTTTTTAAATGGTATATTAAAAATTCTAAATAATTATCTTGAATAAAATTTTACTAAGAATATAACAATCATATTTTATTAGGCCAGAATATTTTTTTGAATCCTATTTCAATTAAAGTAAACGAAAGTGATAAGTTATCTTGGAATTTTACTATGTCGAAATATATGTTATGTAATATATATATATATATATATATATATATATATCTATGGAATTGATGGCTTATATGTATATAGTCTTAGTAAGCCATAAACACGGAATACAAATAAAGTGTTTCGTAAGAACAAACAGGTGTCGTCGTATTTCATATATTTATTTTATTGGGTTCGAAAATGCATAAAGACTCGGAAAACGAGGTCGTTAAATAAATATCATATCAGAAATATTTACAGCAGAAACTTGCATCGTGCACTCAGAATAACTTGGAAAGAAAATCTCGAAATCCCACAGCGATCGTAGAGGATAGGATCAAAAGAATAAACCATATTGGAATTATATCAGGCTAAAGTATCGGCCAGCGATATAGAAGCTAGGTTAAGTCTCTCAAATCACAATTCTGTAGTTTATTCAAGATCTTATAATAGACGTTTTGTCTTTTATATTTTATAATTCTTTTATTTACTACCTGGACCCTAAATTGCAATATTTATTAGTAAATTATTTATTTTATAGTAATTATGAAGGTATTGTGTACTATTAGTAAATATTTGCTTACGATTATGGAAATGGAATGAAATCTTTCTCTTCAATTCATAATGAGAGTAACATGTTGATTTTTATAAAAATAAAGCTCTCATATGTATATCAAATTTAAAGAAATATATTTTCAATTTA